CTGCACGTAATTAGCAGACTTGTATAACTGTTAAATTAGTTCCAGAGGATGGAAATTTTTTTTGTGTAGCAAAATGTTTCCTTTCATGATCCACAAACCTGGAAGATGCAAGAACATATTGGTTTACCTACAGTGCTTTTGGTGTGCAGGAAGCTCTTATGAGAACTCTGAATTGGTTCTCTGAAAGTGCTAATCTGAAGTGGCTCCATCCAGATGTTACACTGTGTGTGGCTGCTGATCCTGTCTTGCCTTCATCACCATGGCTTTGAGAACCCCATTACTCCCCACAATGGGTATCAGCATAGCTCCCTTATAAATGACAGACAAGCTTACCACCATGGCTTATATCTGCCCATGATCAGGTTACATAGATAAAGAGTCTGTAGGAGCTACATATAAGCTGCAATGTGTTCCAGCAGTCTTTAGAACTTGCAGGGGCTCTTGACAGACATGCTGACTTGCACGGAGTTCTTTCTAGATAGTAAGCTTGACAACCACTGGAAAAAGCATTGGAACACATGTCCTCTGCATACTGATACTAGGCTAAAACATGTACAAGGAGAATATGCATTTGTTTTAAAATGCTTTTGTATTAGCTGATTCTGTAGTCCTTGCACAGAACAAGTAACCTATTTAATCAACCCACAAAGCATTTGAAGTTTAGTAGAATGCCTGTGTTTTAAAAGGCAGAAAAACTACCTTTGTAGGGTATGGATGAAGCTGAGGGAATGATTTTGTTACAGGAAGCCTTACCCTAGTGAGAATATCTTCAAACAAGGGGAAAATAATCTTGGTCTTCCAGTTGTCATTGAACTGCAGTCCAGCTAGTGTGTCCAACAAAGAATTGCTGGAAATTGTAGCTGAGTGACATTTGGAAGACCATAGTTTACCCACATCTACCTTGCATCTTTGGACCTTTCAGGATCTCTTTTGCTTCCCACATTGCTAGGTTCTGAGTTGGAGGAGAGATGGGAAGAATGTGGTAGTTATTGGCAGCAAGCTCATGGAGGCTTGTTTTGTAAAGTTACTTCAGTCAATGACCTTTCTCATTCTAGGATCAAGAACTGGAAAATTGTGCTATTAAAACATTTGGTCTTGCAACTTAGAACACAGGTGATAAACTTTTAAAGATAAAAGCTGTTGGCTCAGTATCCCTGACTGGCCCATCTTTTAATATAGCAACCAGTTCTGAAATGGCAGTATGGTGTTGTAGTCATTCTGATTCTTGTGGTTCAGCTTTAAAAATATATATTTTTTAATCAGAAACCAGATCGTGATGACTGGGAGAATGGACTGACAGCAATGGAGTGTGCTTTGCACTTGGAAAAGAATGTGAATCAGTCACTACTGGATCTACACAAGCTAGCAACTGACAAAAATGACCCTCATGTAAGTTGTAGTTGCTGTACATAATGTCCTTGGCTGGCATTGAAAACAATGTACATGTGACTTTTTTATAATTATTTCTTTAAAAATCATGAACAGAACAAGAGGCAAATTATTGGTTCAAATTTCATTTTTCTAAAGAATTAAAATATCGAGCTAATGGGTCTTCAGCATGCACTAAGGTCACATAAATGAGACATTTTAGTCTTTGTTTTCATATTTTAAGAATCAAGTTCTATTTTGCTGCCTATGCTTTCAGGTATACAGTGGAACCTTGGTTTACGAACTTAATTCATTCCGTGACTCTGGTCGTGACCCAAATTGGTCGCAACCCGAAGCAAATTTTCCCATAAGGTTCAAT